TAGGCTAATCGAACCCTGGCTGTTAGCAAATTAATTTTAAATTGCACTTGTTGTCTGCCGTTGGCCAATTTATACTTTTATTCTTACGTTACATTTAATTTTTCACAAAGACTTGAGGACTCTATGACAATTTGATGCGAGTGCTTGAATATGGAAGTTACTTAAAATGCCCATTCCTAATCTGGGCACCTCTAATTGCAAATGTATCCCCAACAATGCCAAGTACATGGTCCTCCATTATTTAAATTGAATATTAGGCCAACAGAAGAACATTTACTCAATTGTAGTAGACTTCTTTATCTATTCATGTATTTAAAAACCTAAAAGATTTGGGGTGTTTGAGAAAACATTCAGGGATACACCCCCTAAAGCTTCCCCCTTGCTCCGCCCTTGAAATTAAGCTGTTGAAGACTTGTTTGCAAAGCCAGCAGAGTGCAGCAAGAAGAGGTGATAAATGGTTTTACAGCTGACGGGGAGATTTCTAGGCAGCGAGTAAGAAAAACAGCAATGTTCTATTCGAAATGAAGGCATTTCTAATCTTCACCAAAGTCATACTCTCTCTGCACTGGCCCTGGCTGTAAATGCAAGTATTGATTTTAAAGTGCCACTTCTAAGTTACAAGGCATGACATTGCCTTGCACCTCATTATATCACTGATTTACTTACTCCCTCTGTCTAGCCATACTATCCACTCGCAGGGTGCAGGCCTCCTTGTCATTCTCTCCCTTTAAAGAAGGAAACAGATGAGGTCAGAGCATTCACCTGCCGGGCCCGAGCCCTCCGAGACAAGCTTCCTGCAAGTGTTGAAAGTGCTCAAGTGCAGACCCCAGACCTATTTGTTTAGCCACGTCCTGTACCTGAAATCCTAACTGAACTCCCTGTTTGGCAGCTCAGCTAAAGGAAGTGCTGTGCCTGAGTACAGCCTCACTCAGCGGCCAATCCACACGTCAGTTTGCTTAATTTTGCCTGGAGATGGAAGTAGCTCTATTTTGAGAAGAACTAGCTGATTTCGTCGAGTAATTCATCTCCAAGTGACTCAACAGGATGAACGTTGATGGTCTGAGACATTTTTTTGTTTTTTGACCATCCAGCACCGGTCTCATGATTGGCTGTGATTGAAAATGTGATGAATGTTGAAAAGAAAATGTGTTTTTGCTCAAGTTGTAACAACCCCGGCCTAAAAACATATACTTTACGCCATTTTGACAGTCGACTGTGTAAGACCCACTGAAGTACCTTTTTTTTTTTTAACATGGTAGCTTATGTAAACCTGAGCCACATTCCACTATAAATACACTGTATGCATACATAACCACCCTAAGTGCAGCCTGTATAAATCTGTGCGTGGGAAATTTTTACCAACTTTTCTTTTAACATTTTTCTTCAGGTTAAGAGCTGCATGCACTGGATGAATACAATGGACATTTCAAGGTGGAGCTTCTTTTACTTTTACTTCACTTTAATTAACTGATGGCTTATTTGACTGGGTTCGTTTTGAAATGGCCTCTCAGCCCAGTTGCCACAAGAAAATGTTGGCATTTTATGTTTCTGCAATACATCTGCAAGTTTCATACATGGCATACCAGTGCTTCTAAAGTGGCATAGTATATGAGTTGACTTTGTCATCAGGAGTTGGAGGGGAAGGGGGATGGTGTAAGACAATGTAACAGGTTGAGATTTTGCAAGTTATTGCTGTTTTCCCTGCAACTTTTTAGGCACGAAACATGTAATTTATTGACCCATCAAATTTCTAGGCATGTGGTCATACTAAGGGCCTCTGGCTTCTGCATGGCTCTGTAGACCAAAGTCTGCAGGTTATTGATCTATAATTGAACTGAATCATGTTTGTGGAAAACAAATGGAAAACTCAACAAATATATTATTGAAAAAAAAAAAAATAATAATAAAAAAAGGTATGAAAAGTTTTTTGTTTTTGCCAAGACATTGCAGGTTTTCCTGCTGGCACTGTGCGCCCCAAACTGGGTATATTAAACCAAAACATGATCTTTTTCTAACTATAACAAAGTAATTTTTTTATCCTAAACCTAACCACTTGTTAATCACAACAATGTTGAAAACTTAAGTTTCAATGTATCAGCTAAATCACTGGTTACCAACGTGAGGGTCCCAACCCCCTCTTTGGGTCGCCAGAGTTTCATGGGGTCATGAGACCTTCTTGATTTTAAAGGGTGTAAGAAATTGTTTAAAAAAAGTATAGAGTAGGCTTATATCTTAGCATTTCATTCATTTCTGTAAAGACAACTGAATAAAACTGTTATTTTTCAAGTTTAAATTATTATTCAGGTTATTGACGTTAAAAAAATCTCACAGGATTAGAGCACGGTGAAGACCTGAACACAAGCTGCAGTCTTCACTCTCTGCTAAACAGCCTTTAAAAGAGCTAACAGAATAATGGCCAAGTGTCAGACAGAGGAAAACACTGAATTTGTCATAAAAGAAGCCTATTAAGTATGCATGCATGTTCAAAAATCAACATAATACAGACAGATAATCTTATAAAAACTTCCTAAAATATCAGGAAAACTCATCTTTGATGCAAAATTCACAGGAAAAAATCGTCTAAAAGTTAATCCAAATCGCTTGTTTTACACAAACTTTATGCAATTGCTCTGTGCTGTTACTGTCATCCATTGAACATAATATTGAATATCTATTAAATGTCATTTAGTCAGGGGTTGTCAGTTTACTCAATGGTAAAAAAGGAGTATCCTGAGGAAAAAGGTTGGGAACCACCGAGCTACATCATAACGTACAACTGCAACATATCTGTGGTTTGCAGAAACATAATGCCAACGTTTTTTGGTCGATTGTGTTGGACATTCATTTTCTGTAACCACTTATCCTGTTAGGGGTCGCGGGAGGGCTTGAGCCTATCCCAGTTGACATTGGACGAGAGGTGGGGTTCACCCTGGACAGGTCACCAGACTATCACAGGGCTGACACATAGAGACAGACAACCAGTCACACTCACATTCACACCTACGGACAATTTAGGCCTAATCCACACAGACCCGTGTACTTCTGAAACCATGTATTATTCTATGCGATTTTGCTGTTTGGCTACATGCAGCTGCACTTTTGGACCCCCAAAACCGCGTTTCTTTGAACCCAGAGTCCAGGGTGAAGTTTTTGGAAGACTCCGGTGCCAGCGGTTGCGTGTAGATAGGATAACCGCAATTTTTTTTTTTTACCTGTCCCCATTGTTTGACATCAGAGCAACGGTAAATAGCTAGTGAGATGGCAGACCAAACAAACTTACTGGTGCTAACTTTATTTGTGAGCGAGCTATCTGCTCTCTTTGGATGGTATATCCAGCTGCTCGACCTAACGACCAACGAAGGAGGCTGCTCCTGTTGCTAGCTACCCCAACTACACTACCACAAAAGCAGCAACGGGCCAACGGAGGTTCTGGATCCGGCCGGGTCGGACCTCAGACTGGTTCTCGAAACTTTCCCACCAGTCTGAGGTCCGACCCGGCCGGATCCAGAACCTCCGTTGGCCCGTCGCTGCTTTTGTGGTAGTGTTGTTGGGGTAGCTAGCAACAGGAGCAGCCTCCTTTGTGGATCAGGTTGTTTTTATTTTCCACACTTCCCTATTCCGGTATTGACTGACTTCTGAACTGACTTCCGTTAGAAGTTACATCGCCACCTACTGCTTTGGCATTTGTATTACATCACTTGGTAGCGGGTTTTTGCGTTTTTTTTTTATCACACCATTCGTGTCAACGAATCTTTTTTTGGAAACCTGAGCCTGAAAAACTTCGGTTTCAGAAGTATACAGGTCCGTGTGGACTAGGCCTTAGAGTCACCAATTAACCTACATGTCTTTGGACTGTGGGAGGAAGCTGGAGTACCCAGAGAAACCCCACGCTGACACAGGGAGTGCATTCGAACTCATGGTAACATGGTAATTTTTGCATTTAATTTTAAAAAAAAATACGCAAAAATTATGACAATGTGACTTTTTTTCTGGGGTGTGTACCAAACAAGCAAGTTCCCTTATGTCTGGAGTACGGCTTGTAGGTCGGGCATTTCTGTAGCACCACAATGCTTCATTATATTGGTATATTGTGACACATTCTACCTTAAAAAATTGCAACTCTCTCTTTTCTGCTGTTGGTTTGGAAAGCCAGTGAGTGACGTGTGGCCACCACAGATACAAATGATCGTCCAAAACTCATAAAACAAGACAAAGTAAGTCCAGTTTTAAAAAACAGATAATCAATGTGACATTTTAATGACTTTAAGCAATGTTTAACTTTGCTTTAATGTTAAATCATCCCTAAAATAAGCTTCTCCATTATCTCAAAAGAGACATTTCCACCATGCTGACTGTAATTACACTAAATGACTGCTCCTAATGAAAAAACTAGTAACTTCTTTATTTTTCTACAATAGTTTTCTCAGGTTAAATCCTTAAAACCCTCGAATTTGTGTCCATAACAAAAAAAAAAAAAAAAAAAGTTGTCCCAATTTTCACCTCCGACAGCTTTATAATAGCACCAGCTTTCCACTGAGTAACCCTCCTGACCCACAGCAGCAGACATGTTCTGAAAGCCTACGGACAAGGTGGGGAGGAGAGGGTGTGGGGAGCGAGCAGAAAGGAGCGGGCATAAACAACTTATTTCAGATTTCAACAACGGCAGCGGCATGTGATTTATTTTTTTTCCCCCAGTTATCTGAACCAAATGTTTTTCTCAGATGAGGCATCCAGGCATAAAGTACCTGCCGTAAAGGTTAACAGGAACAAAGCCCTTTTTTTCTCCCCTCACCTGCCTGCTCCTGCCTCCTCCGCCGCCACCGTCCCCCCCAAACCCCCGCCTTCATTTTCGCCAGAAAAACAGGAAACTTGTTCAAATGAATCCCTGATTTGAGAGACCCTGACTCACGCAGGCAAATCAATACACACACACACACACACACACAAACAAACAGAACACCCGTCAGTGATTTCCATTTGGGTTCCGCGGGTCGTCTTACCGTGGCGTCCTTCTTCTCGTTCCAGCGTGTGATGAAACTATTCTCTCTCTCCATCTGTTGCACCCGGTCTTCATTGACCTGTTGGACACACACCAAGACACACAAACACACCAATTCAAACCCAGCCAACGAGGATAGAGCTGCTTGATTGAATCAGAAAACCATTTTTCGAAGGTAGGATTAATTTCAGCCCTTAAATATAACACGTGGAAGACTAGATTAAACCGGTAAAAAAAAGGCATCACACGCTAACTGTAGAACTGGGTCGTTCAGCTAACACTTCTAAAACTAATTTGAAGGAGGAAGTTGGCTGTGAGTGTTTGACACAGCTCTGCACCAAGTGAATACTCCTTTCTTTCACAAAGCTCTGTGTGGGAATGATATGTTTTATTCCAACTTTTTTTTTCTTTTCCTTAACACCATTATCATTTCCAGAGAACAATTTGCTTTGTTAGACTTCTACGAATGGCAGAGGAGATTGGAGGGGTAAAAAAAAAAAACCTCACAAACTCATCGTGTGTGTGTTTAGGCCTGATAATGGGCCCCGTCGACAACATCCAGCACAGAACTGGCGCTTTAATTAGCGAGATGTCTCACTCGTTTTATGTCACAGCGTGTGTATTCGCCGCCATTGGGCCCATGATTGGTTGAGCTTAATGGCTATTTGTCATGCGAACGGTGGCGTCCCGAACCGATTTGGAGTGAATGCTCCTCCTTTAACGTCAGAACAAGAGGGATCCAGGCGTCCTGTTGGGAATTAGCAGGCGCTCTGTGCTGCGTATCCCATAAGCCAGGCAACTCTCCAAGGGTAACATTGATCCCACACCCCCGCCCATCCGCACATCAGCAAAGTCAAGCCAATTGTGGAGATTTGGCAGCAACAGTTCTGCTCCCCAGATGGTTGAAGTAAAAGTGTGTAAATAAAATAATGTGTGCAGTTTAGTTTAGATATGCAACATGGTAATATATGAAGGCTTCGTATATTATTTTCACCTGTCGTTGATTTGAGATTCATCCTAAATCCAGCAGAACGACTGCACCAGAAACACCTCAGTTTATCTGCTAGTTTGTAGAACAATAACTATATTTTTCACTTATATTCACTCAATCTGTAAGATTCATTTACAGGTATACTCCGCAGGATTGTCGGTTACAGTTTGTGAACACACTTGCCAACTGAAAGTAAAAGCCAGCCCCAGATCCATTCCTGTTTGGCATTTTGCCTCTTTATATTTTCATGTTTTTGGCGCTGTGTCTCTTGGATGCCTGCCACTCACTGTCTGGCACCTGGTTGTTACCATTTTATATTAAGCCCTGACCTCACCTGAGCAATGTGGGGGTACACGCCCATAAACAATCTAAACAGAGCAGAGAATAAGAACAAAAAATATGAAGATCCAGGCAGAGGGCAGAGGTTCTGCAGAAAAATAGTGTGGGTCAAAAATGATGATTGAGAGGGATTACCTCTGTATGAGCCTATATTTAGTTTTCTTTATGTTAAGAGTGACATGACACTGTCATGAACCTGTCATGAACATTATGTACATGTCATAAACATGACTGCTGTCATTAAGTGTCATTCAGTTTTTGTAATGACAAGTTGACATTGTTTGGGTTGTCTTGATTATGAAAACTTGACATTAATCAAAGTGACATTACCAGAAGCTGTCTTTATCATGACAAGTTGACATTAACAAGAAATCCACCTCTTTTTGTGTTTATGACAAGGTGACGTAATGATTATTATAATTAGATGTCCAAGGTTACAGGCCGATTTTAACACTCTGTCAGATAGATGTCTGGCAGAATACGACACAAAACTGGCTGTCATGACACCATTATGAGAGTGTAATGAATAAATGCTTTAACTTGAAGTAAAGTGGTACCATTTTGATTTGTCATTAAGATTTCATGAAGGATAAGACTAGCTGCCATGACACCTTGTCATAATAAGGACATCCCAAACAAATTTAAAGTCAACTTGTCATGACAAAGACAACTTCTGGTAATGTCATCCTGGTTAATGTCAAGTTGCTATTGTAAGGACATCCCAAACAAATTTAATGTCAACTTGTCATGACAAAGACAACTTCTGGTAATGTCACTTTGATTAATGTCAAGTTGTCATGACAAAGACAACTTCTGGTAATGTCATTTTGATTAATGTCAAGTTGTTATAACAAAGACAACTTCTGGTAATGTCACTTTGATTAATGTCACCTTGTCATAATCAAGACAACCCAAGCAATGTCAACTTGTCATTACAAAGACAACTTCTGGTAATGTCACTTTAATTAATGTCAAGTTGTCATGACAAAAACAACTTCTGGTAATGTCACTTTGATTAATGTCAAGTTGTCATGACAAAGACAACTTCTGGTAATGTCACTTTGATTAATGTCAAGTTGTCATGACAAAGACAACTTCTGGTAATGTCACTTTGATTAATGTCAAGTTGTCATGACAAAGACAACTTCTGGTAATGTCACTTTGATTAATGTCAACTTGTCATGACAAAGACAACTTCTGGTAATGTCACTTTGATTAATGTCAACTTGTCATGACAAAGACAACTTCTGGTAATGTCACTTTGATTAATGTCAACTTGTCATGACAAAGACAACTTCTGGTAATGTCACTTTGATTAATGTCAACTTGTCATGACAAAGACAACTTCTGGTAATGTCACTTTGATTAATGTCAACTTGTCATGACAAAGACAACTTCTGGTAATGTCACTTTGATTAATGTCAACTTGTCATGACAAAGACAACTTCTGGTAATGTCACTTTGATTAATGTCAACTTGTCATGACAAAGACAACTTCTGGTAATGTCACTTTGATTAATGTCAACTTGTCATGACAAAGACAACTTCTGGTAATGTCACTTTGATTAATGTCAACTTGTCATGACAAAGACAACTTCTGGTAATGTCACTTTGATTAATGTCAACTTGTCATGACAAAGACAACTTCTGGTAATGTCACTTTGATTAATGTCAACTTGTCATGACAAAGACAACTTCTGGTAATGTCACTTTGATTAATGTCAACTTGTCATGACAAAGACAACTTCTGGTAATGTCACTTTGATTAATGTCAACTTGTCATGACAAAGACAACTTCTGGTAATGTCACTTTGATTAATGTCAACTTGTCATGACAAAGACAACTTCTGGTAATGTCACTTTGATTAATGTCAACTTGTCATGACAAAGACAACTTCTGGTAATGTCACTTTGATTAATGTCAACTTGTCATAATCAAGACAACCCAAGCAATGTCAACTTGTCATTACAAAAACCGAATGACACTTAATGAGAGCAGTCATAAACGTTTATGACATGTACATAATGTTCATGACAAGTTCATGACCGTGTCATGTCATAGTTATGACAGTGTCATGTCACCCTTATGTAACCTTCAAGTAAGTGTTACCAATCCTGCATAGTATATCTAAAAATCAAAAATAAATCTACTAAGTTTACATGTGAAAATAACTTTACATGTTATGAAATGCATTATTCAGCCTGTTGCATGATGTCTTCTGTGGATCTGGAGCATAGACTGTATAAAAACAATGGACGCAGCCACTGTGATGTCACCCTTGAGTTTATAGACTGCGGTTTTGAAACCTTTTGTATTTTGACCATCACCATTTTGGAACTGTGGAACCAGAGGTGACCATATTTAGACGAGAGGGTGGAGCTGTGGAAGAGCGAGGGGCAGGTGTGAATGATAGACTCAGAGACACTTAAGATCTATTCAGACGGGATTAGTTTAACGTGGAGACATGGGGTATGGGGACATTGGTCGTGATAGTGGACATTCTTCTAAAGATCGCATAGCCCTACGTGGGAGATCAATCAGAAAGGTCGAGAAGAAAGCACTTTTCAGAGCCACGAGACTTCTGGTTGTGTTAGGTAGGCCTAATATAAATCCATATTGCTAATTGTTGTGTACACACAATCCTGATCATGGGCAAGATTTCATATTGGGCTAATCATTAATTATTATTGTCCTTCAGCTGATGCTTACAGGAAACAACGTAGCACGCACATGCCGACAAGGAGGTGATGCCAGGGCGCAAACCAAGTTACCATTCCCATCTCTGGTAGAATTACAGAGATTTCTTGTCCCGCGCAAATCGGACATTTATATTACAGACATCCTGTGATAAACTTGCAGGGGGGCTGGAGCCTATCACAGCTGACATTGGGCAAGAGGCAGGGTACAACCTGCATGTCTTTGGACTGTGGGAGGAAGCCGGAGTACCTGGAGAAAACCCAAGCTGACACGGGGAGAACATGCAAACTCTGCACAGAAGGGCTCCCCCACCCGGGATTGTACTATCGCCTCATGTTGTGAGCCGATAGTGCTAACCACCACGCCACCGTGCCGCTGCACATTAGTCCACCTCCCTATGTAAAACTAATCCCATCCGAATAGTACTTTAAAAGTGGCCACTCCCTTAATTATGCATAACTTAAAGCCTTAATAACATTTGTACGGGTGAGTTATACATAAACTCACCGGCCAAGCGGCTAATTTCTGGTTTAGCTCTCCGCTAGTTTAAACGTTAATAAAATTCAATTCAATTCAATTCAATTCAATTTTATTTATAAAGCCCAATATCACAAATCACAATTTGCCTCACAGGGCTTTACAGCATACGACATCCCTCTGTCCTTAAGACCCTCACAGCGGATAAGGAAAAACTCCCCAAAAAAAACCCCTTTAACGGGGGAAAAAAAAAATGGTAGAAACCTCAGGAAGAGCAACTGAGGAGGGATCCCTCTTCCAGGACGGACAGACGTGCAATAGATGTCGTACAGAACAGATCAACATAATAAATTAACAGTAATCCATATGACACAATGAGACAGAGAGAGAGGGAGAGAGAGAGAGAGATGCAGGTAATGACAGTAGCTTACAACAACATTAATGAAAGTAATAATAATGATTTCATTATTTTGCGTTTTTGCATGCAAGACGTCTCTTTCACAATTGAAGTCTATGTTTACATTAGGAAAAATTGGTGCCACTCCACGTGTCCTGGAAGATTTTAATTTCCCAGACAAATGGGGGAAAAACTAGAAAAATTTTATCTGAGCTAAACTTTTGTCGGACACCCTGTTGTCGCTCACTTTGAAAGCTCCGGAACAAACGGCTGAGTCGTGAAGTTGAAATGAAGTATTAGCTAAATGATACCTCATTAAACTACAATGCACTAATTAAGGTTTCAGCTGGCTGGAGGAAGATCGCCAGAGAGCTACACATTTCTAGAAAACGAACATCGCTAATAACGACCTACTTGTTGTTTGCTATATTGAAGATTGGCAGCTGCTTTTCTGTCTGTGATTGCTTATGGTGATACATATATGCATGGAACCTCATCCATTTTACGTAGCTTTGATTCAGTGTACCATGCATCTATACGTTTAATTACAAACGCAAAGTGCCTTACTCATCACTGCATTCTTCATGATTTGGTGGGTTAGACATCGTTGACCTTTCGTAGGCAACAGCACTGGTATATTCTTGCACCCTTCTGTGTGTCAGCTCTGGTAGTTACCAGCTATGCTCCTCTGAGTTGTTGCTTTTTAATGTATTAACAGATCTGAGGAAAACTGCATTCTCCTACTCTGCACCTTGGACATGGACCAATCCTTACAAAGATCTAACATTAGGAACGCTTATATCCATTGATGAGTGGAAGGACATCGTGAAGAATGTGGTGACAGAGACATGTACTTGTTTTTCTTGAGAGGCCACTGTGTTTGAATAGTTGCTGCATTTTAAATGTGTTCTGATTGGCTGCTACCTCGGCCAAAAACTGGTAATTACTGGATAACAGAAACTCTGATCGCTGGATCAAAGGCATGTAGAGTTTGTTCACGGCAGTTTTAGAAAGTGATTCTCAAGATAATTATCACTTCAAACAATAAGAGCATTAAAACTCTATACTATTGCATGCTTTTGTTCTGTATAATGTTCAAAGTGCATCATAAAAATAATTAACAGATGTACTTCAAACATATAATGACAGCTTAAATTAGTTTAATACTACAGCAACAGAACGACCACAGACTGCCCAGTTCGAGGGGGAAAAAAATATCACATTTTTATTTTTTATCGTTAGGTTATGTTTTTCTTTCTGCTATCAAAACAGCTCCTCAGATATGGAACAAACTCAGTCATAAGCCTGGCCTCATTTTGCCTCCAGCGAAAAGTGTCCTGAACAAGACTCTGATGGTAGTTTTTGTTCTAGGTGACCTGTTTTTTCAATATAATCTGTGTTTTCTGGAGACGTGTGCTGAGCACAGTTGGCACAGACTCTGGTTTCCATGTCTGACTAGTTTTCGTGGTTAGTACGTCAGATTAAAACCAATTTTTTTTTTTGACTATATAATAATATTTTTTACTGATTATGTTGCGAGTGTTTATGCAACAGAAATCAGATGCTGTCTAACTCAGTCCCTCACCAGTATCGACACCATCAAAAGGCAAGTAATAAACAAAGAAAGAGTTCTTGACTCACACTGAAGAGTGTAATGTAGTTGCTGATGAGGTCATGGACGACGCTCGTTTCCTGTGGGGTTTGTCCCTGAGTCTGGAACAAGCAGGAGGAGAAGACAGAAGCCAGTTTTTCGCTCGGCATGTGGTTGAGGTGGGAACACTGCTGAATCCTGAATCACAGAGAGAAACGTGGTTAGAATAACCCAAATGTACCTGCACACACACATACACACACACACACACACACACACACACACACACACACAGAAACAGATCAACACAAAGAGTCCCTTGCTCAATAACGCTCTCATTCTCTCATGCCCACACAAACTGTACACTCAGACACAGAGAGCAGAGCGAAATGTTCGGCCTCGGCCCAAATTCAGCAAAGGGCCAATTAAGTCTTCTCCAAACAATCTACATCATTAACATAATGCAGCTTAATCACGACTCTCCGCGGCGAGTTTCCTAGGGAGCACTTGTGTAATGTGAGTATCAGTGAATGAGACATCAAGACAGCAGAGTGTTGGTATCAAATGGAAGTAGAGGTGGAGAACAGGTTTGTGGTGTGGGGGCAGCCGCAGGACAGGATCCAAGTGGAGATGCTAGCTTTAGCCTCCTTGGCTCTGAGCCCCCTGTGTAAGGCTGACTGAATGATTTATCACTAGAAATGTCTGCACATAAAGCTCACTGTTCACAGCATCCATAAGTGAAAGCAGTGAAATGTAACGATAGAGCAAGGAATCTCTGTCTGTTCCTCATATATTGTCGCGACTTTGGTGTTTTTCAGGGGCGGATTCAGTGATTTGGAGGGCCCTTGCTTTACTTTTTATGGCGGCAGTAGCTCAGTCCATAGAGACTTGGATTGGGTCCCTGTCCAGACCCAATATGGAGCACAGACTGGTAGCTGGAGAGGTGCCAGTTCACCTCCTGGGCATTGCCAAGGTGGCCTTGAGCAAGGCACCGAACCCCAACTGCTCTGGGCGCCTGTCCAAGGCAGCCCCCTCACTCTGACATCTCTCCATTTAATACATGTCTAGGTCCTGTCTGTGCGTGTGTGTGTTTTTCAGGCCTGTGTGTATATAGCCCTTTTTAAACAGGAATTGTGCAAATTTGCAGGAAAGCCCAATCAGTCTTTTTTCAGCATTGGCAGTATAAAAACAAAATCGGGGAGTGCAGCAAAATGCCGCCTACCTACTTTTGTTCATACAGAATGCGCCTTTTTCGGGGCAATGGGGGGCGTGAGCAAGTAACAAAACGTGTAGCTCAGCATGTGACATAAACAGCGACGTGGGAGGGAAGCCGCGGCTAGTCAGTCCTTCTGCGATTCTCTCGTAAGTCGGCCCGTTCCTCACCGTCCCTGTCATCTGAAGGTTAATGGCCTCTTCGTTTGCGAGGACAAGGAGGGCACGCAATTCCTTGTCTCCCCAGTTGCTCATCTTTACAGTGTCTGTCAGGTTTGCGTTTCCCTCTTGCTACTAGCTGCTCGCTAATTCCTGCTATCGGAAGGCCGCCTCATTCTGTTTAAACTAAAAGGGTTCCACCAATATGACTACCCTACGAGGCGGAAAATTAGGCACTTCGGATCAACTCACCAATCCAGCTCTGTGTGTCTAAATGCTCGCAGCTTGCCGGCAAATCAGCCCAACATTCGCGGAAAATCTGGCAGTGTAAAAGGTACTAATGACAACAGAGTGAAGAAAACTGAATGAAGTATATCCTCTTCTTATTTCTCTAACTGGTAATGTTGCTACTGGCAGTTGGAGGGCCCACTCTCTCTCAAGCAGAGAACGGGCCCTTGCTTTTTATTTGTGAAATAGTCACTAGCAATTGAATGGGTAATATGTATGTTGATGTTGTCCAATGTTTAGTCTGTACTTGACCATGTGACGACACTATACAATAAAAGGTAGCAGTTTCGACGCTAAATCTGGCACTAGGTTCGTCATAACTACCGTATGCCATTGATGTAACCGAAGTGCACATTAAGTAAGCAGTATACCACTCAACTGCATATTTTTTAAGTGCTTTGGGGGTCATTTGTACATTTTTTTGGGGTACAACAAGTTAGAAGAGCAACATGACTCGATATTGTTCAAAACTAAACATTGTAATGAATCTATAGCTATTTGCGCCAAGGTAATAATCCAAATTCCACTTCTGGAACGTAGCAGCGTGCACCGCATATCATGTGGTGAGGAACAACCAATCACAGTTGACAGAAGAAGTTGATTAATTTAGCGCAGGGCTACCCATAGATTTATATCTGTCCCACGGACGATATTTTTGGCCCTTATACACAGTGGAAGAAGATCAGGTCTGCACTCAGAATTTCTGCTAAGCAGGCTTCAATACGGTGCTAGTTATAGTAGCTTAGCAACCTTAGACACAACATGTCTACACACCCTTGAATGTTGGCACAGAGTAGGCACAGAGTAGGCACAAGAGTAGCGCCCAGCACCGGACCTCCCGTTTTCCAGGAGGTTAAAGATGCTGCATGTGTACGACCCCTTAAAATAAACTTGGAATATACCATTTTCCTATAACAAAAGGCTCCCATAGCTTAAAAATATCACTAAAGTATTTACTGTATATCTTGGGCTTTATCTGTGTGTTTGCTAATTGCCTGAGTTTTTAACTGTGATCCATTTGATCTGTCTTACTTGCAAAATGCCGACATTGCTGAAGACAATATGGGATTGATTCGTCAGTCTCAACCTGAGGGGGCTATTGTGTCAGTGATTAAATTAGCTTTGTATAATTTGAAGTATCTGCCACCATATCCACTCCACATACGGCACAGTAACCCTGACGAAATCTGAGAGAGTATCCGACTCGACTGGCCGGAAGAAAGCCACACAATAGAGGGCAGAGTGGGTCATTAGCAGAGCAGAAGGGACAACAGGCTAATCAGCAGGTGACAAATAGCAACCCTAGGGCCACTCAGAGAGCAGGACCTTCGAGTCTCCACACTTGTTACGCCTGTGATGAAGTGAAGCATCTGTAGAGCTACACCTGTTCTATCAGCCACCAGTCCAATCAAAGACACAATGAAGACAAGAGCTATTGAACACTTTGTTGCTATTCTAATGAGTTATAATGCATAATTTGGCAAAAGTAGTTAAGCCTCATTTTCATGTCCCATTAAGTGCCATTAAGATTCTACAACAGCGTCCAGTGGCTGCTCTGCTCAGTCTGGTTATGGACCGTATCACATCCATCCAACAAGAAAACAGAGGGGTAAGATGAGTCACGTTGTGGTGAGGGACCTAATTCAAGTCATAAAATAGATGTGCAAGTGGTGAAAGGAGTACTCAACTCTTCTACTTAAAGTTTCTAGATGATGCTTCTGGACGAAGCGGTCTTGTAAGGACACAGGTAAGGGTTGTGGATAGGTCACAGAAACTTTCCCCGGGAGATGCGTGATCAGAATCTAGTGAACTTTGAGTCATTTTAAGGTACGTCCTCACCATATTCCGTTTCCTAAACCTAACCACAGTAACTTAACTTGCATAAACCTAGCCTCTGTATCTTTACGTTAATAATGTAGCTGCATGTGAAGGACCCAATGTCATTCGTGGGGCACTCGTTCGTAGGAAATCATACGAACCGTTCTATGAGAATACGTTAAGCTTGCCATTTGCAAATGACCTTAACCAACAGCAGATCTATGTTTATTAGTTAAGTTACAGTTAGCTGGCTAACCTTAGCTTTGGTCATAGTTAGCTTGTTGGCTGCCCAGCTACATGTAACTAAGCTAACACATGGTTCTGGTGTTTGTTGTTTCGTGGCTGTTAAAGTAATTAGCAAACAAGCCCCACAACTCTGGACGAATTAGCTGATGTTACCCATTCTAGACAGTATTTTGCTATGTTGGCTAGCAAGCAATTCGTCCACTGTAGTAAGCCAGCTAACGTTAGCTAACATGAGTCGGCTAAAATCACAGTATCACAATGTTTCTGTCGGCATTTCTTCTAGATTTTTTTTTCATCACCTGATAACCATGATATGAATGGAGTGGCATGTAGTTTTGCCATACTTTCAAACATTTTGGTGGCATCTCGGCACACTTAACTCCCAGTTCTGTCAAATACACCGCGCCCAACTTCCCAAAGACTATATGGGTTGTAATGTTAGCTGCTGCTGTGGAAGTGTAAGTTCCACGCTGGGGACAGTTGGGAGAGTCCGCCTTACAACTGCCACATACAGTGACAGGGCTAACTGTTAGCATCACACGGCTAATGTTACCTAGCAGTTATTAATTGGTTAAATGTCAGAGTTTATTGGGACCATATAAAGGTCTGTGTCTGATGTTAGCGGCTGCTGCTGTGTTAGCTCCTGCTAACCAGGCAGATGTTGAACTGACAAGAAGGAGAGCAGCTCCAGAGATGGCAGCAACAGAAAGTTTTCTGATCCAACGGGGTGTTGAGATGGTCCGAAATCAGACCCCAGCCCAAAAAGGATCAAATACAGGCATCATTTGACTGTAGATCGTCCAATACTACTTGGTACTGGTACTTACTTTTCATACTTCAAGGTATCAAGTGCTGAAACTCAGCCCTCGTCCACAGGCTGTTATAGGAAACCGAGAAAGTTGGGGAGGGTCTCAGTTTTTAAGTTACTTTACAATCTGTTCACCAGTTGGCAATTAAAATGATTAATGCATGTATAAAGTTACATACAGAACTTTTGAGTATAAGTATCAGTATAGCAATGATGTTCCATTACAAGGAAAAGTTCTGTGTTTAATAACCCTTTTAAGTGGTACAGAAGTATTATCAGCAAAATGTTCTGCAGTGAAATGTCTCCTATAACTTATACATTATTATATATCACATACTGTTGCATCAACACACAAGCTGTGGTAGCTGGGTGAGTTGTATTTAGATACAGCACACTTGAGTAAATATACTTTCCACTGTCAGGATGTACAGTCAGTGTGCTCTTGTGTGACTTCCTCCTTGTCTGGTGAACTACATTGTTGAATGTTGTTTTGGCATCTTCATGTTCTTTTTTTGAAGTAGACCACGTGCGTCTCCCCTTCAGGATAATAAACTTTATCCTCACAGCGACCTCGACCTTGAAATAGCCTCACTAGTACAAAGCTTTAAATGTGTCTGCAGTTTGAAGAGTGTGTGAGCTTGTGTGTGTGTGTGTGTACCTGTACAGATGTTGGAGCACAGCATCAAGGGTTGACCTGTTTATCTTTGGCAAACTCTCTATGAAAGTGGAGTACTTCTTTACTCTCTGCCTCTCGTCCTTCTCATCTATAAAAACCACACGGATGAGAACTGCAGTGAAAATGCCAAATATAATAAAGGGCAAGCTGAGACGTGACCATGGACACATAAAGGAAATGAGGGTCACAATACACTTTTTAAATTATTGAAGCAAATTAGAACGTTTTATATTTTTTAATCTGCGATGATGAAATTGTGTCTCTTCTGTCCAGAGACCTTGAACATTGTCGTGCTACAAACCAAAATACACGGAGCGAATTACTAGAATATAACCATTCACCACAAGTCGTTTAACAATGGCATATTTTTGCTTATTATGTCTCGCCAATAAACCTGCGCTCCCGCCCCCACCAGGCGCCTCACATACCCAGAGCTGACACCCAGTATGGATACAGCTCCTTGGTCAGCAGTGCATCCTCAGCTTGGGATAAGAAGCTCTTCAGGGTGTCCGTCACATCCTCCAGGTGGTGCTCCTTCTCCCTCAGCTTCACATTGCGAGCATCCCGAGTGAACTCCTCCAGGAGCTGGGACACTCGACCAGGGTCCCCCGGCCTCTGGTAGACCCCCTCCTGGCACAAGCCTGGTTACATAATCAAAAAAAGCACTCGTTCTTGACGTCTGCATAGGTCACTGTCTAATGTGTGGTATCTGCAACAGCAAATGACAGCACATGGATTCCTATGTAACTATATACAATTATAAGGTAATAACCAACCTCCTGGATGATAAACTGTGGGATTTAATAACATTACATAAGCACATTTGAATCAAAATTGCAGGTAGAATAAAATTGCAGCTGCAAGGTATATTAACCTTCTGTACCACTTTACAGTTTCTGTCAGAGTTGACTTTTATGCCAGTCCCTCATTACATTGCATATCACTCATAATGCCACTGTATAAGTGCCCTTGGTGACCTAATTCAAGTCATTCAGTGGCGGAAGAAGTACTCAGATCCTTTGCTTCAGTTAAACTATCTGTACAGCGGTTTAAATTATGTAATTATTAGTAAAAGTCCCACATAACAAAATCTGGAAAACCTCTGATCCTTATTTGAGGCTCACACCTGTATTTTGTTTTTTTCTACAACACGGTTTAATGTTCAAAAACTATTTATTTTCCTTATACCGTCAGTGCTGGAACACCTGTATTCACCCTCTGTCTCAGATGCTCTATTTTAGTTCCTGTCTTTTTAAGCTCCCCTCCTGAAAAAGCCTATCTCTGCATCTCTGCATCGTCAATGAAGCCAGGGAATGACTAACGTAGTACAGCAGCACGTTTTATTGTGAAAAATCACCAATAAGAGCTTCTAAACCGAAAATCATGAGGATCAGACATGTTCCAGTAGGACTATTATCTGAATTTGGGGAGAAATTAACAACATTAGCAACCAAAATTACAGGTTTCCTTAATATTAGCATGTAGCTACAGGTAGCAGTGTACCTGCGGCTGGAGAATGATTGTAATGGAGTAGGATAGCTGTACTTTCTACTGTGAAAAATCACCAATCAAAGTTTCTTCGTCAAAATCTTTGCAACCTGACATGTTCCAGCAGGAATATGATCCAAAATTGGTGAAAAAATTAACAACATCACCAACCAAGATTACATATTTCCTTAATGTTGGCATGTAGCTACATGTAGCAGTGTACGTGCAGCAGGGAAAACGACTCTAACAGAGTATAGTGCTACTTTCTACAATGAAAAATACCCAATAAAAGCTTCTCAACCAAAATCTTCACAGCCAAACCTGTTCCAGTGGGAATATGATAAACAAGATTACATGTTTCCCTGATGTTAGCATGTAGCTACATGTAGCAGTGTACATGAAACCAAGGAATGACTGTAATTGAGAATAGCTACACTTTCTACTGTGAAAAATCACCAGTAAAAGCTTCTATTAAAAATCTACACAACCGTGTACTTGGAGTTTGGGAATGACTGCCTATAGTAGCACTTTCTCCCATTTAAAAAAACACCACAAAAAGTTTGTTAACACAACTGGACATGTTCCAGCAAGAATATGTTTCAAAATCAGGGATGAATTAACATCATCACCAACTAAGATTACATTTGTCCTTATTGTTAGCATGTAGCTACATGTAGCAGTGTACTTGCAGCTGGGAAAAGACTGTAACAGAGTATAGTGGCACTTTCTACAATGAAAAATCCCTAATAAAAGCTTCTAAACCAAAATATGTACAACCAGACATGTTCCGGCTGGAATATGATCCAAAATCTGCCAGAAATAAACATCGGGAAACAAGATTACATGTTTCCCTGACGTTAACATGAGGCTACTTGTGGCAGTGTCATCTTACCTGCAACTGGGGAAAGACTATAATGGATTATAGCTACACTGTCTACTGTGGAAAAAATCACCAATAACAGCTTCTATTCAAAATTCCAGACAGGTGAACAGGAGGAATATGACCCAAAATTGGGAAAAAATTAGTAACATCTGCAACCAAGATTATATGTTTCCTTGATGTAAGCCTGTAGCTACATATAGCAGTGTACTTGCAGCTGGGGAATGACTGTAATGGATTATAGCTACATTTACTACTGTGATAAAATCACCAATAAAAGCTTCTATTCAAAGATCTTCGAAATCGGACATGCTCCAGGAGGAATATGATCCTAAATCGGGAAATAATTAATAACATCTGCAACCAAGATTACAGGTCTCCTCGACATTAGCATGTAGCTACATGTAGCACTTTTAGTAGCGTGCCTAGAGCAGATGATCATATAAAGAAATCTGTCACAAGCTGATGTGAGCTTGTATTGAAAGCAGTAAAAAACATTGTACGAGTTTGAAGCCTGAGGATTTGCTCACAGGAATTTCTTTTACATACGTTTCCCTCATTATTTGAAACTTTGGCCACATCTAATATGAACATCTAACATTGTAACATTATATAACTGACAGAAAATAAGGAAAAGCATGGCAGATACCCTTTGAAGTATCTGGTTTTGCAAACGTCCCCTATGATTAATTTATTACTATGTATAGCACCTAGTATATTATTAGATAAATAATGCTGTTGCATCAACACATAAGCAGAGCTTTACTATCGGTGTTTGGTCTACTTTTTTTATCTCAAGATAAATCTGAGGGGTTATGAGACGATAAATGGAGAGAAAAAGTTCTACATTGCATCCCATTTAAAAAGCTACCATACAAGTATTAGTACCCTTTTGAATTTATCATGCATTGAGCGCTGTGTAATACAGATTTCATGTGTTTATATTTGGCAAATAATTTTGTATCCTGCAGTAATGTTGCAGTGAAAAGTTGGACTACATACTCTGCATTTCTGAAAAACAATATGGTGAAACAGAGAGATGGGGTAATGCCACAACATTATGCTAGACAACATTAGAAAGCATGAAATTCTCATCACGATGCAGCATACTGAATGAATCAGGTCCTCGAGGGGAAATCATAATAATGATCATGCAAAAATATTTTTTAAAACTTTTTCTCTCCTCGTAAGCACAATGTAGCTCACCATATTGGGTGACAAAAGCAATACAACTGTCGACTATAATGGGGACACCATTTTTAGTCAGCTGTTGGTCGCTGAGCGCCTTGCCATCTGTGCCGGCAGCCAGTGTGATGGCAGAGCGCCACAGTGCAAAGTCCATCTTGTTGAAGCCGTGGATGTAAACTGTTCTATTAAAGAGAGAGATATAACAAAGAAGGAGTCATTCATTAATGAAGCACACCATGATATAATTTGCAGTAACAATATGGTGTTTCAGATTTCAAGATGTTTAAGTTGTTCATATATTTGGAAAAGCACTGCTTAGTCATTAAATAAACAACCGACAAGATTAAAGGAATCCAAAAGCGCTTCGGCAGAACACACATTCATAAACAACCACCCGTTTTCCCACGAGGTTTCATCAAAAACACACAAACGAAGAGCAATTAACGGAAAGTCTCGTTGGATTACTCTAAAAGGGAGACTGTTGGCTTGTGTTACGTGCCGTCTCACCTTCTGTGTAACTGAAGCAGGCAGTCGAGCGAGACTTTGATTACCGCGGATGGTTACAGTAGGTAAAGTGCATTCGGACTAACAAGACAAAGGCAAAATCAAAGCGTTGCATAATGTATCATGTTGTCCTACTGCAAACACGTTGCCAATTAGCACTTTTTGTTTCCCAGAGTCTGACATACCTTCCTCCCTCCACCATCAGCAAGACTTGGATCTTGTCTTCACCCTCCGTATGTGTGGAGACAGCTGTGGGAAGAAAGAAAAGGGGCAACAAGTTGAAGGAAATGCAGCCTCCAAAACTGAGTACATTCAAAGAGCAACGCGTTCTGCGCTAATGCAAAGTAATGTGTTTAGGTCTGACATTTGCAAAAGCACGAGCGCTTAGAAGCTTTCGCCATGAAACTTGAAAATGCATTCATTACCTGTCACTGAGAGGTCTCCGTTCTCTTAAGTATTCATTTACTTTTTAAGTCAATCACTGCAAATAATACACCGCACAATATGTCTAGACATATCTGGCGAGTCCAATGTGCAGACATATAGTGGAAAGAAAAGAGACGGAACAGTGCTGTAGTCGAATGGCAAATGCATCCAGTTGGAGTTAACAGCATTTCTTTGTTGTAGTGGGAAACGTGGGCACGACTGGAGGTGGTATAAACAAGAGTGGGAAGTGGCGTATAAATACAAGTGTCAATGGTCATCAAGCTTTACATAAAGTTGGTCGCAATGAGACCAAACAAGACCGCACTGAGGGGAGCATTTAACACACAGACACAGAGTCCCTGCTGTTCTTCATCTGTACAATCAAACTTTTAAAGTAACAGTGCAAGGATACAGAAAGACTGGGCCAAGGGACTCAAAAGCTCTGCCATAATCTCTTCTCTGGGTTCAAACAGCAGCTTGGATCATGGCAACAATCACACACGCAACAGAAAAAGTACCAAAAAAAAAAAAAAAGATATGAGGCTTTGCAGTTGAGTCACAAATCTCCAAGCAACAACATCTGGCACTTTCATCTCACTCAAGTTCACACTGGTTGTGCTCAAAAGAAACGAGCAAAAAGAGAACAGCCTGGACTTTGCCTGAATGAAAACTTCACGTTTTGAGATTAATAGAGCTACTGTACGTAGCGACCTGCACGGTAAGCAATTACTAAATAAGGCATGTTTTTTTTGGACAAAAGGGCAAATACACATGCACAAAAAAAGAAACAAAAGCAACTTCTAACATCTGGCTTGTTAATTCAATAGGAAATGCTTCAATCAGCATTCACACCCTGGCTCTGATCGGCATTGATGGAAACACCCAAGTGAACGTGCTAATTTTAGCCCCTTTACCGGCAAGATGCAATGACGTGCAGCTACAAAATACCCTCCATCTCCGCCAAAGCAGCAGTCAAACATCGATCCAAATTAGTCTGCACCTTTGAAAGACAGATAAGTACACAGCTCTGGTCCACTGACAATGGGAAAGGAGTCTGTGGCCTATTTTTGGCAGGTTTACCTGTGTTAAAAAACACCGACGTACGTGCGGCAATTTTGGTGGAAAAGGGTATTATTTGCTTTATTACCAACAGTTAGAAGAGAAGACAATCTAACTCCTATGTCAGTATGGCTAACACTCTTGACACTCTGTCTGGGGAGATGGAGTGAATGTGTGATTATTTTAACCATTAGTTAACTGATTTAGAAATAGAGCGCTCTGTTACTTCGAACAATAGCGCTCTCATTTTACTGTAGAGTCAGACTGGATTTACAAACAAACCCCACGTTTGTTTATTCCAGACACATACCAAAGTGTAAAAATGACATGTTGTGGTTTAACTATGCTAACTGGCTGCTATCTACTTTATATTGTGTTAGTTTAATCCAGACCAGTGGTTTAAGCTAAGCTAACTTATAATGTTTATTAAAAAAAAAAGTATAAAAACAGTTATAAAAGATCTAAAAAAAAAACATGTTGTGGTTTAAGCTATGCTAACTCATCATGTTAGTATAAAAATGAAAGTATAAAAACAGAGAAAGTGTAAAAAAAAATGACACACTGTGGTTTAAGGTATGCTAACTGGATGCTAGCTACATTAGATCTTGTTTGTTTAATCCATACAAAAACCAAAGCTAATTTATCATGTTTATTAAAAAAAAAGTATAAAAACAGTTATAAAAGATGTTTAAAAAACAACGCGTTGTGGTTTAAGCTATGCTAACTCATCATGTTTGTGTAAAAATGAAAGTATAAAATCAGATAAAGTGTAAAAAATGACACACTGTGGTTTAAGCTATGCTAACTCGCTGCTAGCTACATTAGATCTTGTTTGTTTAATCCATACAAAAACCAAAGAGTAAAAACGACATTTTGTGGTTTGAGCTAAGCTAACTGGCTGAGCTAGGTTATGCCATATTTGTGTCACCCATACAAATAAATGAATAAATAAATGTTGTGTTGTGGTTTAACTATGCTAACTGGCTGCTATCTACTTTATATTGTGTTAGTTTAATCCAGACCAAAAAACAAAATATAAAAATTAAAAGTTGTGGTTTAAGTTAAGCTAATTTATCATGTTTATTAAAAAAAGTATAAAAACTGTTATAAAACATGTTTAAAAAATGACAGGTTGTGGTTTAAGCTTTGCTAACTCATCATATTTATATAAAAATGAAAGTATTAAAACAGAGAAAGTGTAAAAAAATACAACACACTGTGGTTTAAGGTATGCTAACTGGCTACTAGCTACATTAAATCTTGTTTATTAAATCCATACAGAGACCAAAGTGTAAAAACGACATTTTGTGGCTTAAGCTAAGCTAACTGGCTGAGCTAGGTTATGTCAAATTTGAGTAAGCCTTATAAAAAAAAAAATGGAAATAAATAAATAAAAAACAAAAACCTACAAAAAAAGCCACATTGTAGTTTAAGCCCTACTAACTAGCTGCTTCCAACTCTACATAATGTTAGTTTAATCCAGGTAAAAACCAGAATGCAAGATCAACACGTTGTGGTTTAAGCTACGCTAACTCATCGTGTCTGTATAAAAAACTAAAGTATAAAAACAACATATAAAAAAGAATGGTGTAAAAATGACACACTGTGGTAAGTGATAAGTGATAAGTGATAAGCTAACTAGCTCCTAGCTACATCAGATCCTGTTTGTTCAAACGATACAAAAAACAAACTGTAAAAACGACACGTTGTGGTTTAAGCTAACGGCTGCATGCAGTAGCTTCATACCATAGACATGAGAGTGGTGTCGAACATCTTATCAAGGTCAACTCCTGAGAAGATAGAAATCATTTCCCAAAAGGTTGAACTACTCTTTAATCCCAGAATTGCCTGATTCTAAAAATTCAATGACCCCAGGAACTTGGGTTAACCTCCACATTTAGCCTCAAATTGTGGCAGTTGTAATCCCATAAAAATGTATCCGATCTATGGACAGTAAGTTCTGTGTACTGTATCTTCAATGGATAATTTCATAATAATCACATTACAAAGAAGAACAACTGCCGCTTTCTATACCCTCCACCAAATACCACAATCTCAGCATCTCCATCTGCATCTGAACAGTTATCGGCTCTGACAAGAAACTTAATTTAGTTTAATTAAATAAAAGAGAACTGGTAAAAAAACACTACATACAACAGTATTATTTTGACTAACACGTCCTTTGTATGTTGAGTGAAAAAGCAAAAACAATTAATCCCCAAAAGTCTCTCTTAACGACTAATTTGCTTTTTATTTTCTCTGGCAGATTTTCAAGGGCACTGTTTTCTCATTCAGATTCACACACCAAGAGAAGAAAGCAGAGAACTTCAGAGATTGATATTGACTTGAGAGAGGTTTATTAACAGTGTTATCAGGTAAATGCAAAACACTTGTCATTGTTGTTTGAACAAACACACAGCAATCCTCTTTTATCCATCTAACAGCTCAGTGGGAAATTTTTTATTACTCAATATGTTTGGGTGATAAGGAACTAAGTCTGTGGCCTTGTTCTCGACATAATTTGTGCTGGCGTCCTGTAAGAGATTTACATGCCTTTTTTTTTACCCTTTAAAATCAGGGTGACGTCGGGTGCTGCTGCACATTTCAAGTCTGAGCATTAAGTGTTTCTTTTTTGAAAGTATTATATGATAACTTTATATTATTACATATTTACAGAGACCTGGTTTTAATTGCTATGACGGAATTGTGAGCACAGCCCAGTCGCCAGAAGAACATGTTGTGCCAACTGTGCCACCAAAACCGCCATTTTCATTGGTAATTTTTTTAGCACGACAACGGCAGCATGTCCAGAGGCAAAGGTGTCACTACAACCAGATGGTTTTATTTAGTGAGACATTGGTAGCATTGCCAGCCACAGTCATGCCACCACAACCGGCTGTTTTTAGCATTACATTAGCAGCATTTCCAGCCGTCATCATGTCACCAAAACTAGGTGTTTTATAGCAGTAAATGAGCGGCATTTTCAATGACGCTTGTGCCACCATAACTTGGTAGTTCTTAGCAAGACACTGGCAACATAGCCAGTCATGACTGGGCCACAAAACCACCTTTTTCAGTGGTAACTGTGCCACAAAGACTGGGTGTTTATAACATGGCAATGGCAGCATTTCCAGTGGCAAATATGCTACTAAAAAATTTTTTTTCAGAGAGACATTGGCAGCATTTCCAGCCATGATTATGCCACCAAAACCAAGTGTTTATAGCAAGGCATCAGCTGCATTTCTAGTAGCAAGTGTGCCACCATTACCTGGTGGTTTATAGTGAGACAATGGCAGCATTTCCAGCCATGATTGTGCCACCAAAACCAGTTTTTTTGTTTTAGCAAGAAATCAGCTGCATTTCCAGTGGTGATTGTGCCACCATAACCTGGTGGTTTATAGTGGCACAGTCATGGCTGCATTTCCAGCCATGACTGTGCCACCAAAACCAGGTATTTTTCAGCAAGAATCACCAGCATTTCCAGTGACAATAGTGCCACTGTAACTTGGTGTTGTTTAGCAAGACATAGGCAGCATTTTCAGCCATGACTGTCGCCCAATAACCAGGTGTTTTTTTTTAGCATGAAATCAGCAGAATTTCCAGTTGCAATTGTGCCACAATGACATGGTCTTTTAATCAAGACAGTGGCAGCATTTTCAGCCATGATGATGTCACTGAAACCAGGTGTTTTTTGTTTTTTTTTGCAAGAAATCAGCTGCATTTCCAGTGGTGATTGTGCCACCATAACCTGGTGGTTTATAGTG